AAGAGATATCCAGTCGCTTCTGGGCACACAGACAAAAACACCTTTAGGCCCCATTCACACCAGAAGCATTGGCATATGCTTTTTAACGCATGCCAACCTAAAGACATCTGAAAATGAATGGGTGTGAATGCAAGCAATTCACACCAGTGCGTTGCATTGATGTCTGCTGCCCTGTGCTAAAAAAAAAGTAGAGCAGGGCAACGCATGTTTAACACAAAGCAAAGGACATCAACACAAGGCAGAACCAATACCTTATATAGCTTAGTGTAAAAATAAATTCAAAAATGCAACACAACACATGTTGTACTATGAAGTACTATGAAGGCCAAGTGAATGCACGTGCATTGAGTCTTTTCCAATGCACACATTTCAGCGTGAATACACCTTTAGTAGAGGAAAGATGACAACTTTTGACAGCGTTTTTATTGCGGTCTGTGCCTTCCTGGCCCTTTGAAAAACACACCCCTCGTTTCTTGTACTGGCGTCAAAGTCGCAGAAGTGAAGGACAATTTAATTTTCATGGCATCTCTGCTTTAATACTGCTTAGCAAGCTGAATAAGTAGCCAGTAATGCCCGGCCTTGGTACAGCAACACCGGTACATTGCGCTCCTGGTAAAATCAGTCACCAATAAGTAACTAACAGAAATGTTATATCCAGAAGCGCCAGAGACAATCATTCCTCATCCCTCATAAAGAACAAGTGTTAGGCAAATGTGCAGGGCGCAGCCCCAATACAGTCAGGGATAACTGAAAAGAAAGCACAAAAAGAGGTGCAGATCAATTTATTCAACAGTGGTAAAAAATGAACTAGTGGTACAGTGGTAAACAGTGGTAAAAAAAGAGTAGAATGACAACAGGCTGTAGGACAGTAAAAAGACCGGAGCAGTGGAGGGATCCATATGATACGTCCTGTGTACAGATCAGTGAAGTGAAGTGTTGACGCGTTTCTGGGGCACGCCCCCTTCGTCAGAACATGATTCTAGTCTCCTCCCCACATTGAATAAGAAGGGACAAGAAACACCTGATTGGATAGTGCTCTGTAATGCCGATAGGATATCAGCCTGTTATAGGAGGTGGCCACGTTGGTAATGGGCGGGCTAAACTAGCCTAATTTAAATCGGGTTTCTCCCAGCCAATCGGAGCTGCAGAAAACCGAGGGCAGCGCTAACATAGTCTCTGTCCCTGTCAGTGCGTCCCAATATGTACGGACGAGAGTCTGACACCCCTCTGCCAGCAGACTGGGAGAAAGAGTGGAGAGGAGACAAGAGTCAGTATACGGCTCTTACCACAATAGAACGATAAAAGATAATTATATATGTGTAATGATTAAAAGCATTAATGAAAAATTCAATAAAAAGATTATATAAATACTATTGTATAGCAGTATAGTGATAAGCATCATAGGCAAACACAAAAGCTTCAATTTGCATACTAAATGCATAGTAAAAACATATACATATATGTGTAGGTTGGGAGTCCATGCCAAACTAAATGTGCTGCCAAAGCCAACAACTGGGAACTGTAGGACAACACGGATCAGAAACCCACTGACAATTGGTATGGACCATTATGACGAGGTTCCTGCCTTTTTCACATTTGCCATTGTCACTAATCGCTCACATATTGTGGTGGATGAGAACAATTCCTGAAACCAGAAGCATTTTGTGAGGTCTGTGAAATCTCTGTGCCTGCAGTATGAAGGGACATATAATGCAGCTCATTGGCTAATGCTCTCCATCAGAAAACTAATACCAAGCTGTAGCAGGCTATAACAGCTCAACGGCAAAGTCAGATGCACCAGCGAAAGAGTTGGCAAAAGACTATATTGGCTCAACAGCAGAGCGTGACAACCAAACAAGTTATTGCAAGTCAGCAAGTCCCAAACAGACTGCTGGCCACCCAGGTGGAGTCCAAGTAGCAGGTCTGAAAGTATCTATAGATGCCTTGGTGGCAGCTTTGGCCAAGGCAGGGGAGAGAGATCAGCAACCTCTGACTGAGGTGCTGTGGGATCCTGCTGACAGGGACCAGAATATGTCTGCAGTTACAATCGGTGGAAACCATTTTTGACCCTCACCCCCGCAACATCGCCAAGCACACTACTGAAAAGGAGCCTTAGCCCACAGCACAGCAGTCAGGATTTTGGGTTCAGTCACTCAAAATATAGAAGCAAAAGTGGCATTATTCTAGCCAAGCAACCAGCATTTTCAGGAGATATCAACAATGGCTTAAAGCGGACCTTTACCCCCTGTGATGAAAAATCATATCAGCATATAGTTCTGCATGTTGATATGAAATCATCTTACATTCATTAACTAAACAAACATTTTTATTTTACTTACAAATTCTTTTTTTCCTACTTCCTGGTACACTTTGGCACAAATGATGTAATCGTGCCCAATCATTGCATCGTGGGAAGGATACATCAACAGAGCATTGCGGGGAAATCTCATCTGTAATCTCATGAGATCTCAGGGAAAGGCATTTTCCTCCCCTGAGGTGATGTGCATGGTCACATGTCCTAGTCACATGTGCCAGAGTTCCAGGAAGTAAAGGGAGATCTAGTAACCTGTCCTTAGTTACAATTGCAGACATCTCAACTCTCCCGGAAGCTCCGGGAGTCTCCCGCTATTAGATAGCGGCTCCCGGACGCCCGGGAGAGAAACATTTTCTCCCGGAAAGGTTTAATCTGCTCTATCAAGCAGATTAAACCTTTCCCTGCGATCGTTTTTTTTTTTCTTTTCTGACATCGGGAGCCGCGGCCCGACCGTCAGTCAGAAAAGAAAAAGAAAAACATTTTTTTTTCTATCAGGTCCTCTTCTGCTGATTGAAAGCAGCAGTGGGCGGGTGCATTACCTAGTTTCCTATTGGCTATTGCAAAGTGCAATAGCCAATAGGAATCTAGCTATGCAATCGTATGCCTTTTTTTTTTTTTTATTCTGACGACTGCAACTTTCAGAATACAAAAAAAAAAAAGAAAGCCTGCAGATAGCAAAGAAGCTATTGCTTCCTGTGCTATCTGCCATCATTTCAGGGGGGTGCTCTCTCCCAGCCCCCCTAACCTCTCCTCCGTGGATGGGGGGGGGGCACCTACCGGAAATGAGAGGGACACCTCCCTGAAAGTGCTTCTTTCAGGTTGGGATCCCTGCAATTGCCACTGTCAGAAGACTGGGGGGAAAAAGAAAAATAAGGTATGCAAAAAAATAAAAAGCTGGATATTATCTAAATGTATGTTTGTAAATTGTCATTACTAAACATTTGTAAAGGTGCCTTTGTTGGCATTTTGACTATATGGGTAAAGTTCCTCTTTAAGACACAAAACAGAAAGAAAATTGCACACAGATCTAGCTTAATATCATATACAGTTGTGCTCAAAAGTTTGCATACCCTTGGAGAATTGGTAACATATGTACCATTTTTAAAGAAAGTGAGCAGGCAAAACACATTTCTTATGGGATTCATATTCAACTGTAGATCATAACAGAATGGCACAGTCATAAAAAAAAACATGGCAACAAATTTAAAAAAAATGAAATTCCCCTGTTCAAAAGTCTGCATATCCTTAGTTCTTAATACTGTGTATTTCCCACTTTAGGATCAAATGATAGCGTTCAGTCTTTTGCGTTAGTTGTCTATGAGGCCCCGAATTCTTGCAGGTGGTATAGCTGTCCATATGTCTTGGCGAAATGACTCTAGGTCATGAGGTCATGCAAAGTCTTTGGTCATCTTGCATGGACTGCATGTTTGAGATCTCCCCAGAGTGGCTCAATGATATTAAGGGCAGGAGACTGTGATGGCCACTTCAGAAACTTCACCTTTTTTGCTGTAACCAATGGAGGGTCAACTTGGCCTTGTACTTAGTGTCAAAGACCAAGAGCGTCCCATACGCAGCTTTCGCGCAGAAGAATGCAAATTGTCTGCCAGTATTTTCTGATGCATGTTCTACCTGTGCTTGCATGGGTTTCCTCCGGATACACTGATTTCCTCCCACACTCCAAATACATGCAGGTAGGTTAATTGGCTCCTGTCTAAATTGGCCCTTGTATGTATGTGAAATGGGGACCTTAGACTGTAAGCTCCTTGAGGGCAGGGACTAATGTGAATATGTACTATGAAAAGTGCTGCGTAAATTGGCAGTGCTATATAAATACCTGTAATAAATGAATAAGGAAAATAACATGCCGCATTGATTTCACCATCAGTTTTCACAAGATTCCCAGGGCCTTTAGAGCTCATTCAATATAGATCATTTTACGTAAAAGCAAAATAACACACTCACATTTAGGTAAGTTATAAGAAGCATTGTAACAACCCGGAGATGCACTGCGAGGCTTGACAAAGGAGACTGCACCAAAACACATTGTTGTGTTTACGGAGTTTAAACAAAAAGTAGGTGGGGATATAGCACAGCCACAACCAGGTTGCATGGTACACCGGATGTCTGGTGTGCAATATGCTACCATCGGTAGATGTGTGCCATTTCCTTTTGGTCTGTCTGCAATCATGGAGTAGAGGAATTAGATATCATCTGAAGTTAAGACCATCTGCAGTCCTGATGGCCCTGGTGACTGCCTCCTTTCACAGTGTATCTCTACGCTTTGTTACAATGCTGCTTATGACCTACCTAAATGGGAATGCATTTTTTTTTTATTTAAAATGAATAAAGAATCTGTTTAATATTGTACCAGAGCCATGCGCTCTTTTCTTTCTGTTTTGTCTTAAGGAATACTCTGAGCATCTTCTGAGCTGATAAAGAAAGCTGCAAGAAGTCCTTTTTGGCATTCTATTGGTTGCAAGCTAGTATGATTTTGGATAGTTTTCAGATTATTTTTTATTTTCTATGATATCAACAATGGCAACTTCCATGTTTTCCTTTCAAGTATACCAATCCTTTAATATCTACTAAAGAAAATACAACTGCTGTATTTCTTAAATGTTTTCAAATGAATGACAGCATCTAATGCCTATTACCACTCTTGTTCAAAAACAATGCATAAAAATACCTTCATGACACTTTTATAGGAATGACGAAATTCTGGCATTTTCTTCCCACTGGCATCCTCATCATCTTCCTCATCCAGAGCATCATATCCTTCATCAGTGCTGCCGTCAGTCTCATCAATATTTGTCATATTGTCTATCAGGCACTCCAGGGGAGCACTTAGCTCCCTCTCCTCGTTGTCTTTCAAGCCATAATCAAGTGCTTTGTAGATGATAATTCCTAGTGACACAACGACCTGGAAGAGATAAAAAAGAAGATATGTCAAAGTGAACCTTTAATAAATTAATACATCAACCTGACAGAACATCAAATTTGCATACCCAGTGCTTTTTCAAAGATACATTTAGCCCTACATTAAAGGTACTACATTTTCAGTCAGATTGTGAGATTATCTAATGTCTATTGTGCAAATACAGAGACCACTTGGCAGTGCTTATATGGGCTAATAGGAATAGCAGAGTTGTGGATGACTTGTATGTTGTTAGTTTTTTTAATGTAATTCAGTGTGCAAATGTTAGCCAGTGGAGGGATTGGCAGAGAAGGAAGGTGGACACTGAATGGTTGGTCAGGTGTATGGCTCTGGTAGAAGCATTAATGATAGAGTGAAGTGGTGAAAACCGGTTTAGAGATAGCCCAATGAGGAGGGAGATACAGTAGTCAAAGATGTGTCAAGGGTGTGAATTAGTAGCTTGGTGATTGTATTGGTCAGTAAGGCAAGATTTGGATACAGATCAGATGTGGGGCTGGAAGAGGAAGTTAGACTCCAGGATTAAACACAAAAGCATCCGGACATGAGGGGGGACTAATAGTCGTGCTATTGATCTAGATAAAAAAAGTCGGGTGGAGGAGGTAATATCATAATCTCAGGTTTGGAAAGACTGAGTTTTAGAAATTGGTGTCACATACACACTGATAAGCCATTTAGTAGACCGAGTTTTAGTAATTGGTGTCACAGCCACACGAATATGTCACTTAGATGAGGAGTTGAGAGATAGATTTTAGTGTCATCAGCACAGAGATATTATTGGAAGCAAAGTGAGGCTATCAACTGAACAAGGAAGGAGGGGTAGATAGGGAATAGAAGGGATCTGAGGACAAAACCCTGTAGACACAGGTAACCAGGTCAGGGCAGGACAGGGGTAAAATTCTTTACTGCATGTTGTCAGTAGCAGAATAGAGAAGTGGCAAAGGTTTCACAACATAACGGCTACATCACATTAGAAAATGTGACTGTAGTGTGGCACCCTCTTTTATAGTGGCTAAGCCATATGGGAAACTGTAGTTGCAGAGCTGCCACTTACATAACTCAAGCTTATTGGGAAATGGGGTTGAAGAGTCAAACCCTCTTATATAATTTCCAAATAATATTGGATGTGAGTGGCGAGCCGTATCCTCCTAAATAGTACTTAGACAACATTAGGAAATGCTGTTGAGGGTCTACACAAAACTACATAATGGCCAGGCCATATTAAGAAATGTGGTTAAAGGACCATGCGCTATCAAATTAGTGCTGAATCATATAAGGGTATGTAGTTGCAGAACCATATAGTCTCCCACAGCAGGTAGATCGTATTATGGAATGTGGCTTAAGGATCACACCCTCTTGCATAATGGCTACACCATATTGGCAGATGTATTTACAGAGCCACATAGCCTCTTGTGTTATGGTTAGATCATATAAATAAATGTATCAACATTCTTTTCTTTTAAAATGTAGACCGTGTCAGGACTAACTTTAATCAGAAAAAATGTGTGAAAGTTGTGGGAATCTTTTGTAAAATAATTTATAAACTCCTTAAAATACAAGGAGAGTTCTCGGACATGGTTTTAAATCAGTAGAACTCCTCTCTCTGCCATTTGGTGTAGTAAGTTTCAAGAAATCCTGAAATTGGCAGTTTAGGTGTACTTGGTTACAAAGCTGCCTTGCATAAGGACAGATCATAGCATATGTGAAATGCACAAACATTGCATTTCAAAATATGCAGTTCTACATATCAAAGCGGGGATTACCCTTTCACCAGGAAACACACACAAAAATATGCCCTTCAAAATGTCTAAAGGCTCTGTACAAGAAAAAATACATTTGTGTATATGGTTTTAGACATAAGAGTCTAAAAATTGGTGTGGTAGAGCATTTAGGGCACAGAAAGAACAAAAAATTGGGTTGAGCTTTTTTTTTTTTTTTTATAGCTCTGCCAAAAAAAAAAAAAAGGAAACCATTGCAAATTTAGGCCTAACACTTAAAAAAAAAACAAGAAACCATACAGGCAGACTGAGTTAACCTATCTCCCCGGTCTCTCAAGGTGGTATCATAAAATCACATCCATCTTTTAGTATTAAAATGATGGTTTTATATCTAACGTAAAGAATAGAAAAATCATATTCAGAAGTTTATTAGGTAAATTAAGTAGTTTGATGTATAGGTTTTGAATATTCAGATAAAGCAAGAAAGAATTGAGTGGTAACACATAGTATGTAGTATTCTTGCCTCTTGTCTGAAAAATAACAATTTAATGAAATTATTTGCAGGTATTTCAGCTAAGGTCCTAAATCCTTCCGATCAATTATATGATTGAACTAGTCGGATGTGAACCTGTAACTGTAAGTTCACCTTGGGAGACCATAGATATTTTTTTGAGTCACAGAGACAAATTCTTAAAGAAAAATAATTGTATGCTCTGTTGTAGGATAGATTGGCAACTCCCCCTATTATGGCATAGTATCATCCTCTAACTATTATCCTGTAACTATCACCTCCCAAACAATAAAATTGGGCCAGAAACTAAGTAGCTGAAAAAAAACTACATGTAGATTATTTTTTTTTTAAAAGGTTATTTTGCAATAGGTGTCCTTCAACACAAAGTGGATTTTCAATATGTTCTATTGAAAGTAATAGTAAAAAGGCAGAAAGTTTTAAAAGTATTTCAGATGCTGATGATATCACTTACAATGGGATGCTGTTCTTTGAAGTTTAAAAGGTTTTAGTTTCCTGCAGAATCAGCTGTCCCCGATATCATGTTTTAGGGTGGCTTCCTACCTTGCAGAGTCCTATAGAGCAGAGTCCTGAGTGTTGTATAATACATCACTTCCGCATTCTTGTGTCACTCTCCAGCTTCAGAAGCTGGAAAGAAGCTGATGGAGCAGATCTCTGCTTCATCAGCTTCTTTTGGGGGGTCCTAGGTGACATTAGGGGTCTTGGAGACCCACGTGTTTTTTTTTCAAAATTTTTCAGTAATTTTTCCTAATTATAATACAAAATAAAACCCCCAGTGGTGATTAAATACCACCAAAAAAAAGCTCTATCTGTCCCCAAAAAATGGTGTAAAATTCATTTCAGTACAGCGTTGCATGACGGAATAAACGTCAAAGTACCGCAGCGCTGAATACTGAAAAATGGCCTGGCCAGGAAGGGGGTCTAAACACCTGGTCTTGAAGTGGTTAAAGTAGAAACAGATACTTTAGAAATGTTATCTGCAGACTGGACTTTTTGCTTATATTCTAGAACTTTCACAACTACAAGATAATGATGGATCAATACATTAGCTATAACAAAATTAAATAAAGAATCTACTAATGTTCTTAAACAGTCTTTAAATGTGATGGCTCAAAGCTAGGTCATCAGCCTCTTAAAAGATATATTTTTTGTTTGTTACACTTGTTACTGTACAAAATTGCATAACGTTTAGTTTACAATTGAATCGTTCAGAGATGCCCTCAGGAAGAGCATAGAGACATCCACACAGTGTATCCCGTGGTTAAAGAGCGCGTATGTACTGGTCACATGTATGACAGAATGGAGCACTGCCATTTTGTCTTGATAGCTTTCACTGCATATTTTTTTATTTTAAATCTAAAGCATGAAAAGATCAGGAAGTTAAGCAGTTGCTAACATTAAGTCAGCCACTCTCCTTAGGGTGCATGAGAAAATGTACATGAATTTCAAGAATGACTGCACCCTTCTTACCAAGTTCTGAAAAGATCTACATTCTGATCAAAAATAGAATGAAAGCTGGAGAACAACATACTTCTATAAGCAGAAATTTTCAGGGATAACCTTCAAGTATTCCTCAACAATTTTAATAAGCTATGTCTCACATAAATTGAAAGAAATTAGGTGACACTTGGATCCATTAAAACATATAGATAACATGCCAGTTAGATAGATGGAATCCACAAAATCTGTGTTTTACATATAATTGTTACTACATGGTGCACCCATGATACCCAGATCACTAGTGGTAAATCTTCCATGTCATGGCTGAAATATGTGGGCCCAATCCATGTCGTAGAGTCTAAAGAGAGTGTGTGACATTGCCAGAATGCAGCCTTTAAGTGCACCCCCTTGGTGACAGCAAATAGGTTGACAGTGAAGCAAGCACATCATCAAACAATTCAAGCATTAAATGAAGGTACAGAAGCATGCCGATATTCTATCAAAGATTGTGACTGGGTTGGAATGTGACGGTCACACATTTTAATGTAATCACGCCCACTTTATCAGCGGCGGAATATGTGAAGAATAAGGTGAAGAATTCCAACGCTTTTTCCGCTGTTCCAGGGCAGATCGGCACCGCAGATCGTATGTGCAGGAGAACTGATCTTCCCCAGAACAGCTGATCGGTCCTGAAACGTCACTTCTATCCGACTTTGCGAGTGCAATCTCACATTCAACAAAGTCAGATAGAAGTGAAATTTCAGGACCGATCAGCTGTTCAAGGGCAGATCAGTTCTCCTGCACATACCATCTGCGATGCTGATCTGCCCTGGAACAGCTGAGAAAGCGTTGGAATTCTTCACCTTTTGCCGGTCACATATTCCACCGCCGAAAAAGTGGGCGTGATTACGGTAAAATGTGTGAACACGTCACCGGTCACACATTCTAACGCAGTCACAACTTTTGATAGAACACCGGTATATCAGCCAGCAGATGGGTCAGGCATGTGAACAGTGTGACCAATGCAAAATGTAAGCACAAGGTGAGCATTGGACTTATCATAATTCACCTTTATAGCACTCACTGCTAAGAGTACTCAGGACTTTGTATGGTGTACACTAGCAATATTCCTGTAAAACTGAAATTTTCCTGCTTGTGATAGGATTGCCAGGACTATGTTTAAACCCTGACTTAAACTATTCTCCTGGGAAGCACTATTTTGCTGAATGGACTGAGGTGCACAGTCGAAGTCTTGTATGCACAAAACCAGTTCCTTGAGTACAAACATTTTTTAATTTACA